TCACCTGTCACAACGCTCACCTGTCACAACGCTCACCTGTCACAACGCTCACCTGTCACAACGTTCACCGCACGTCACTGCAACAACTGGACTAAAATGAGGAACATCTGCAGAGCATGAAGCAGAACACCTGCTCTGAGCACGGATCACTCCTGTGCTGGACTTCAGTCTGCTCAGTGAGAACAACTCATGATGCTTCTCTCCATGGACCTGGTGCTGCTCAACCATCTGTCCTCTGGACGGTTCTGGAGGGGTTCTCCTCTCACTTCATGATCAATGATGGATCCTATGGTTCTTTAGACTCTAGAGGACAAACTGTGGAGGTCCTGGCAAAACCTCTGGCTGCTCTGGACTCAGAGGTCAACTGAAACATGTTTCCCTCCTGTTTGGTGGAGAGGAGGAGCTTCATGTAGCACAAACATGTAAACAATGTTTGTTTACTCATGCAAACAAACAAACAGACTCCGGTTTTGGGTCCAGAACTTTACCAGTCAGACCCGAGGGGGACGTTTGTACCGCGGCTGTGACGTCACGCTCAGACGGCATTAATCCTCCAATCAGGACGCTCCGTCACGTTAAGGTCGTTTTACAGTCTCTGATCAGCTGTTCGAACCGATACATGATGACGTCATCCGATCGCTTATCGACTAAGCCCGTCGGAAGCGGTGAGGGATCAAAGCGGGTAAAGCGCGTGCTGCGGAGGCCCGCAGGCTCCCCCACTCCCCCCCCCCCCCCGCGCCCCCACCCCCTCCCCAGTGCCTCCTACCTTCTCCTGCGCGCGGTTCAGCCGCTTCTGGACGTTTTTAGCGAATATTCCCGATTTGATCTCCGCCATGATGGAGTTGAGGAGGATTACCGTGCAGGAGAACGGAAGGAGCGCGCGTGCGCGTACATGTACAAGGGGCGGGGCTGAGAGCAGGTCTAACTGCTAATTGGATGGATGTTTCTCTCAATGCTCTCTCTCTCTCACACACACACACACACACACACACACACGCACGCACGCACGCACACACACACACACCTGCAGAGGGCAACAGTTTCACATCAAGTTTTCTTTGATATGATCCGTTTCCTCATGAGCAGAAGTTGTTCTGTTTTTTGGTTTAAACTTCAGGGCCACCGTAGCCGACCAAGTTGTGATTTTTTTTTTTCTTTCATTCAACCTTTATTTATTTATATCCTGATGCATGCTCAATAATCCAGGTAGAAAAATCTAAAAAATTAAGTCTGGTCCTCTGGACGTTCAAAAAACAAAACAAAAACAAAAAAAAGGGTAAAAAGTATCAGAGAAACTGAGACGTTTATTTTCTAAACATAACGTCCCAGTGGCTTTTAAACCCCAAAATACATTAAAGACTGGTTCATCCCAAAGATCCAGTCCCCCGGCACAAACAGAGTAATGTTGTGTATGCTGTTCAGTGTCAGGAGGGTGATCAGTCTTACATCGGGGAAACTAAACAGCCACTGGCCAAAAGAATGGCCCAGCACAGAAGATCAACATCATCAGGCCAGGACTCTGAGGTCTACACTCATCTCCAGGTCAGAGGTCACTCTTTCAGGGATGAAGATGTTCACATCCTGGACAGAGAGGAACGATGGTTTGAGAGAGGAGTAAAGGAGGCCATCTTTGTGAAAAGAAATCGTCCATCGTTAAACAGGGGTGGAGCCTCCAGGTTCAACTGTCCCCCTCTTACAATGCTGTGATTGCTAGTATCACTCAGCCCTCTGTGAACAGTAAACAGCCATCAGGTGCTAATGATCCATTGTTAGGCTGATGGTCCTTCTTGAGCATGTGATCAGCTGGTTCTGGTTGTCAGCAGCAAACTGGTTGATCCACTCTGAGAAGGTGCTATTTAAGAGACTGAGGCCCTATTTACACGGACACGATGGGGGGAAACGTAGGTTTTTTCGTATGTTAATTAGAGGAAAAGATTTGCGTTGACATGGTCAGATTTTGTGTTTACATGCATCTGGAGGATGCAGAACACACTTTTTAATAGTGTGTTCAGTTTAATTATCAGTGTTTGTGTGACATACAGTTTGTGGTGTTGAATAAATAAATAAAATAAAAATTAAACCTGATGTCTTCATTTTCAACTTTAATAACATGCAATATGTTTAACATCATTTTAATCACATAATTTGAATGACATAATGTCCAGAAAGCTTCATTATATAGCACAAACTTAAGATAAATACTGTTTATTATTATTAAACTTGTTATTTAGCACATAGTATGTTCTAGTGCAGTGCGCCGTGTGCACGTGCCTCGTTCTATAAACAGTGATATTAGAACTGGATCAGATTGTGTCTCTTCCAACACAGATGTCGGTCACAGCAGCTGGAATCTGACGTAGATTAACTACGAGATTAAAAATATATTCCATCAGTCGTAGTTCTGAAAGCAGTGTATCCACCGCCATGTTGATAGAAATATAGCGTTGGTCCGTGCGTGCGTGTGTGCATGTGGTTTAACACAAAGCCTTAGCGGGAGATGTTACATTATCAGTGGGGGGTCAGAGAAAAACCTCCACTCTGGAAGGTGGGTTCAGAAACCTCTGGATTCAAAGAGGGGGGCCACTGGTGTCGTGTAGATGATCAGCAGAACCGCAGAGAGAAAGGAGCGGATTCACTCAAAATATGTGCCGTGTAAACGGCCCCTAAGAGACTGAGCTGAATACAGCACCTCAGACTGAGGAAGTCTTTCGGATGAAAGACGAAACGTTTCTAAAATTGTTTTGTCTTGTTTTTTTGAATGTCCAGAGGACCAAATTTAACTTTTTTAGATGTGATTTTGTTTCTTGTATACAGATTATCTTATTTTAGTGATATAAAGTGTAATTCTTGTTTAGTGATTTGTACATCTGTGAGTTAGAATAAAGTTCAACTAAAGGCTGTATCTCATCTTAAAACATATTTGAGGGAAATATTCCTCAGATTTAATAATTTTGTCTTTTTATGATTTTTCAGCTGCGTTAACTTTAATTAACAGATTATTTAATAAAGTCAGAGTGAAAACAGGATTTCATGATAAAGCGGCACCGTTTATTTATTTATTTTTTTTCCACTGATAGAAAAAAAAAAAAAAAATCAAACTATTTTTATACATTTGGATTCCAAAAAAGTTGGGACACTAAACAAATAGTGAATAAAAACCGAATGCAATGATGTGGAGGTGCCAACATCTAATATTTTATTCAGAATAGAACACAAATCACAGATCAAAAGTTTAAACTGAGAGAATGTATCATTTTAAGGGAAAAATCTGTTGTTTCCAAATTTCATGGCGTCAATAAATCCCAAAAAGTTGGGACAAGTCCATTTTTCCCACTGTGTGGCATCCCCCCTTCTTCTTCCAACACTCAACAGACGTCTGGGGACAGAGGAGACCAGTTTCTCCAGTTTAGAAATAGGAATGCTCTCCCATTCATGTCTAATACAGGCCTCTAACTGTTCAATCGTCTTGGGCCTTCTTTGTGGCACCTTCCTCTTTATGATGCACCAAATGTTCTCTATAGGTGAAAGATCTGGACTGCAGGCTGGCCATTTCAGTACCCGGATCCTTCTCCTACGTAGCCATGATGTTGTGATTGCTGCAGAATGTGGTCTGGCATTATGGTGTTGAAAAATGCAGGGTCTTCTCTGAAAGAGATGACGTCTAGATGGGAGCATATGTTGTTCTAGAACCTGAACATAGTTCTTTGCATTAATGGTGCCTTTCCAGACATGCAAGCTGCCCATGCCACAAGCGCTCATGCAACCCCATACCATCAGTGATGCAGGCTTCTGAACGGAGCGTTGATAACAACTTGGGCTATCCTTGTCCTCTCTGGTCCGGATGACATGGCGTCCCAGTGTTCCATAAAGAACTTCAAATCGTGACTCATCTGACCACAGAACAGTCTTCCATTTTGCCACACTCCATTTTAAATGACCCCTGGCCCAGTGCAAACGTCTGAGCTTGTGGAGCTTGCTTAGAAAAGGCTTCCTCTTTGCACTGTAGAGTTTCAGCTGGCAACAGCGGATGGCACGGTGGATTGTGTTAGCTGACAATGCTTTCTGGAAGTATTCCTGAGCCCATTCTGTTGTTTCCTTGACAGTGGCATTCCTGTTTGAGGTGCAGTGACGTTTAAGGGCCCGGAGATCACGAGCATCCAGTAGAGTTTTACGGCCTTGACCCTTACGCACAGCGATTGTTCCAGATTCTCTGAATCTTTTGATGATGTTATGCACGGTTGATGATGATAACTTAAAAGTCTTTGCTATTTTACGCTGGATAACACCATCTTGGTATTGCTGCACTATCTTTCTGTTCAACAATGGTGGAATTGGTGATCCTCTTACCATCTTGGCTTCTGAGAGACACTGACACTGAGAAGCTCTTTTTATACCCAATCATGTTGTCAATTGACCTAATTACCATACCATACCACTTTATTTATAAAGCACTTAAAACAGCTACAAGGCCAACCAAAGAGCTGTACAGACAGAACAACAGGTAACACACAAAGCAAAATACAAGATGAGGTAAATCAGAATATAGATATAAAAACGATGCAGATAATGACAACAAACCAGTGTGAAGCGAACAGGATCAAAACACAGATCATCTGGTGTTGAAAGCTACTGAATAGTAGTGAATTTTTAAGCGGGACTTGAAAACCGAGAGGGAAGGGGCCTGTGTTAATTGGTCTTCCAGCTGTTCGTTATATGCTCAATTTCCTTTTTCCAGCCACTTATTGCTACTTGTCCCAACTTTTTTGGGATTTGTTGACACTGAAATTTTGAATTAACATATTTTTCCTTTAAAATTTACATTTACTCAGATTAAACTTTGATCTGTCATCTGTTATATTACGAATAAAATATTGACATTTTTCATCTCCACATCATTGCATTCAGTTTTTATTACAATTTGTTTAGTGTCCCAAATTTTTTGGAATCCCGTTTGTACAAAAAATGTTTGTTTTTTTAAGTTTCCACCCTCCGTCCCAGTCCTCTTGCCTGCCAGGGTTCCAAATCCGGCCTTTGTGAGCACGCAAGGCCGGGGCTCAGGGTCCAGCCTCGCGTGCTTCAATGGGTCGGCAGCTCGTATGATCCTCCGCGGTGACTCCGCTCGCCCTGAATTTTGTCGTCGATCACCAAGCTCAAAAAACACCTGCACTTCAGCATTAGAACACAGTGTTGTCATTATTGTTTTTGAAATATTAAAAATAGGTCCAGCCGCTGCTCTGAGTATTTGCAAATGGCGGATCGGTGAAAAGCTTTCTGAAAGATCCAGTGACTCCTCTCTTTGACCAATCAGTGACCGACAGTGTACTTACGTCACGTACTTACGGCTCGCTTGGACCCCTTGAAAAGAAGGGACAAAAAAAGGGGCAGATGCAGCTAAAAAGTACTAGTGGAAAAGCGTTCAAAACCGTAGTGAACTGAGCTTACCTGATACGCACCGTCACAGTGGAAAAGAGGCATAAGGTAGTGAAGCATGACTACACCTGGACTTAAAAGCAATGCTGGAATAATCTAACAAAGTTCAAGTCTGATTATAGGGCGATTAAGAACCACAAAAAGCAGAGTGGCTCGAACACATTTACGATGACTCCCACTTTTTATTGACGATCCCACACACAGAGCGGAAAAACAGGTCAGCCTTCACTGTGATGGCAAATCACCTCCACCTGAGAAGAACTGAAAAGATTTAAGGATTCAAAGATTCAAGGTTCTTTATTTGTCGTTCCACCACATGTGGTACATGTGGTGGAACAAAATTGTGTACACAGGGTCCCAGTTACATCCAACAAAAGTATTAAAATGTAAAAGAAAAACAGTGATAATATTTAAGATATGAACTAAGAAAGACGTTAATCAAAATACACTAAACACTAATAGCATAAAAACAATACACCGAACAGCAGCACAAACAGTGTGTGAGCAGGTGTGCATGCATGAACAGAGCAACATGAAACAGATCAGCAGCAACATGATAGGATTTTTCACAGTGATTATCCTGGTTAGAGATTTATGAGTCTATCAGCCTCAGGGTAAAAGCTGTTCCTTAGATGAGAAGAGTGTGGAGCCACCCTCACCAATGGCAAAATTGCATTACCTGTATTGTTACTGCTAAAAAAAGGCAGAGGAATAGCTGAACATCTGACATGCAGAGCAAGTGAGAACATAAGAAGCTGGGAGAGAACCAGAAGCCATGCTAAGCTAACGCTAGCAAGAGTTATCAGATTTTAAATACATCAATAAAAGCAAAGGTGTTGAAAAACAAAAAGGTGTTTCAAGCACAATCCAACAGCAGAAAAACAGTTGTACTGAAGGTGTTTGTGTTCTAGAATGTAAAACTGCACAACAGATAGATAAATCCAGTAAAACAAAAGATTCCACAAGCAAACTAATTATTCCTGATGAACCTTAATTACTTAAATTGTGGTCATTGGGAGTGGTGGTGTAGAGGTTAGAGAAGGTGAGCCTGTGATTGGAAGGTCACCAGTTTGACCCCCCCGGGCTGACAAAATCAAAAAGTGAGTGGGAAAGGTGTAACACCCACACCTGCCTCCATCTTCATTTGCCCCAAGCTGGGACCTTGAGCAAGGCCCTTAACCCTCACCATCTGCTCCCTCTGGCACCTAGATGGCAGCTCTCTGCTCCGCACAGAGGGCCGTGGTAGCTTGGTGGTCTGTGGTTGTATCAGGAAGGGCGTTCGGCATAAAAACAACTGACAAACCTTTGTGCGAGTTATTTCACTGTAGTGACCCCTGAGGAAGGGAGCATCTGAAAGAAAATAATTATTTATTAAATTGTGGTCATTACCTGTTAAGTGACACATGCCTTATTGTAAATGTCCACCATTCCAATAGTCAAGTTCTGCTTTGTGAAATATGAGCCCAGTTTGTTCATATTTCTAATATTAATATTTATGCCGAGCTATGTTATGGAAAGGTTAGGGTTATCTGCATTCCAGTTTGGACTCTGAATCCATATTTTAAAAAGCAACAGGTGAATCATAGACCACATCTCAGGTGATGAGAATCCCGTTACACCTGCACCTCAGCAGCAGGGGGCATACTGATGTCAGATCTGATTCACATGAACATTCCATCTGCTGCCTCGTCTTCAGTCTATAAAGTCATTTCACACCAACGAAGATTCTCCTCCATGTGAGGTGTCGAAGATGCTGCTTTGACTCAACCATGTGTGTCTGTGTGGTATGGATGAATCAGGAATGATGTCTTCCTCCTCGTCCCTCCTTCATCCTCCATTTCTGTTGTGACATCCGATCAGGATGAAACAAACACTGCGAACATATTCCATTTATTTTTCATACAGCCAGAGTTTCACTGTGTGTGTGTGTGTGTGTGTGTGTGTGTGTGTGTGTGTGTGTGTGTGTGTGTGTGTGTGTGTGTGAGAGAGAGAGTCAGAGGGAACCCCTCTGTGGATGGAGGGAGGGATTTAACAGCCTCTGAAGTATAACCGTTGTCAGGGACAGAGAGGGAGATTGCAGTGACCCTGCTCAGTGTTCATTTGGCTCACGCCAGCAGAACTTCAGGACCACCACCGGACCAGATCCACCAGCAGCACAGCTACCACTGGACCAGAGAAATAGAACTTCAGCGCTTCAGGTTTTAACAAATTTGCATCCGACCACCAGGAGCAAACTTAAATTTATCTGTTGATTTTTTTTTTTTACAGCTGGCTGCAGTTCCTGTTGCTTTTCTCCATCCCAGACACCAGAAAAAGGATCAAGCTATACCATCTGACCCAACAAACCCAAACCAATTGACCCACTTGGCACATCTCAATCAAACCAACCAATCCAAGCCAATTAATCCATCAACCATATGGTCTGATGGACTCTGACAGACAACTTTATTGTTGACCTTCTTTGTCTCCCCCTGGACTGCTATACTGTTTTACCCTACAACAACTGGCCTCTGCTGACAGTATTAACGTGACCCTCTGCTGGAAATCTGCTTCAAAAACCGTAATGAGTTCTTGGGTGGCTATGTTCTTCTTTGTGCCCATTTTTTGGGAGGTTGGTGCATGTCTGACCATTTCTTCATCGCTGGACCCAGAGCCAAGACTCCAGGAGGGCACACCATCCTATGATTGTCCATCCTGCTCTTTGTCGCAGATCAAGATAAACTCGTCTTGGTCCAGGGGTCAGAGTGACATGGTGGAAGCAGTGAAGCGTCACATCCTGAACATGCTGCACTTGAGTGCCCGGCCCAACCTGACACAGCCAGTTCCTCAAGCTGCCTTGCTCAATGCCATCAAAAAACTTCACGTTGGTCATGTGGCAGAAGACGGCAGTGTAGAGATCCAGGAGAAGAGTTCAGGCTCAAGGGACTCGGCTGCATCTGAACCTTCTGAAATCATCGCCTTTGGGGAGCCAGGTGAGTCCAGAGCTAAAACAAATTAACTTTGTGTTGGATTTTTCAGCTCATTCAGACTGAGGCCAGCTTGAGTTTAAGGGTTCAGGGTGTAAGTTTGATCAGTTCTGGGTTACTGCAGGTTACAAAGGACTTCTAAAGCCCAGCATTAAGCTGACTGGTCAGTTGAAACAGCTCCTGACAGGAAGTGTGCCTCACACTAACACATAAGAATATGAATAATCTAGCTTGGACTCCACAATTGTGGAACATTCAAATTAAACTTGGACTGTACCGATGTTTGATGTCATCTTATCTATGGATTATCTCTTATCAGCTCATTTATATAAACCAAGAAAGGTTTGTTTATGAATTTCAGACGATTAGAAAAAATTTATTAAGAGGTCATGTTTGACAGCAAAAAGCTTAAGATTTGTTTCTCTCTGTTGTGCTCATTTATGAGCTGAGAACTAAAGTTAAGACAGAAAAAACATTTCATTTAAAAATGACAAAACAAGAAACCCCTCCCTGGGCTGCCACCTTACCGTGGTGGAGGGCTTTGAGTGTCCCAATGATCCTAGGAGCTATGCTGTCAGGGGCTTTACGCCCCTAGTAGCGTCACCCAAGGCAGACAGGTCCTAGGTGAGGGACCAGACAAAGTGCAGCCCAAAAACCCAGATGATGAGAAAAACAAATGGACTTAATGTTCCCTTGCCCGGACGTGGGTCACCGGGGCACCACTCTGGAGCCAAGCCTGGAGGTGGGGCACGCGGGCGAGCACCTGGTGGCCGGGCTTTTACCCATGGAGCTCGGCCAGGCACAGCCCGAAGAGGAGACGTGGGTCCCCCTTCCCATGGGCTCACCACCTGTGGGAGGGGCCAAAGGGGTCAGGTGAAATGTGGGATGGGTGGTGGCCGAGGACGGGGACCCTGGCAGTCTGATCCTAGGCTACAGAAGCTGGCTATTGGGACGTGGAATGTCACCTCACTGGTGGGGAAGGAGCCTGAGCTGGTGTGTGAGGCTGAGAGGTTCCAGCTAGAAATAGTCTGACTCACCTCTACGCATGGCTCTGGAACCAGTTTCCTTGAGAGGGGCTGGACACTTTTCCACTCTGGAGTTGCCCTTGGTGAGAGGCGCCGAGCAGGAGTGGGCATACTTATTGCCCCCAGTCTTGGTGCCTGTGTGCTGGGGTTCACCCCCGTGAATGAGAGGGTAGCCTCCCTCCGCCTACATGTGGGGGGACAGGTTCTGACTGTCATATGTGCTTATGCACCAAACGGCAGTTCAGATTATCCACCCTTATGGGAATCCTTGGAGGGAGTACTGGAGAGTGCACCTCCTGGGAACTCCCTTGTTCTGCTGGGGGACTTCAAAGCTCACGTGGGCAATGACAGTGAGACCTGGAGGGTCGTGGTTGGGAGGAACGGCCCCCCTGATCTGAACCTGAGTGGTGTTCTGTTGTTGGACTTCTATGCTCATCATGGATTGTCCATAACAAACACAATGTTCAAGCATAAGGGTGTCCATATGTGCTCTTGGTACCAGGACACCCTAGGCCGTAGTTCAAGGATTGACTTTGTTGTCATCGCATCTGATCTGCGGCCACATGTCTTGGACACTCAGGTGAAGAGAGGGGCAGAGCTGTCCACTGATCACTACCTGGTGGTGAGTTGGCTCCGATGGTGGGGGAAGATGCCGGTCAGACCTGGCAGACCCAAACGTATTGTGAGAGTTTGCTGGGAACGTCTGGCAGAGTCTCCTGTGAGACGAAGCTTTAACTCCCACCTTCGGGAGAACTTCAAACATGTTCCGGGGGAGGTAGGGGACATTGAGTCCGAGTGGGCCATGTTCTGTGCCTCTATTGTCAAGGTGGCTTACCAAAGCTGCGGCCACAAGGTTGTCGGTGCCTGTTGCAGCTGCAACCCTTGAACCCAGTGGTAGACACCGGCGGTGAGGGATGCTGCCAGGCTGAAGGAGGAGTCCTATTGGGCCTTTTGGGCCTGTGGGACCCCGGAAGCAGCTGATGTGTACCGGCAGTCCAAGCGACATGCGACTCGGATGGTCGCCAAGTCAAAAACTCAGGCATGGGAGGAGTTCGGAGAGGCCATGGAGAATGACTTGCGCACAGCTTCAAGGCGATTCTGGACAACCATCCGGCGTCTCGGGGGGGAGTGGTACACCACCAACACTGTTGATAGTGGGGGTAGTGTACTGCTGACCTCAACTCGGGATGTCGTGGGTCAGTGGGCGGAATACTTTGAAGACCTCCTCAAACCCACCGGCATGTCTTCAACTGAGGAAGCGGAGCCTGGGGACTCTGGGTTGGGCCCTCCAACCTCTGGTGCTGATGTCACCAAGGTAGTTAAAAAGCTCCTCGGTAGCAGGGCCCCAGGTGTGGATGAGATTTGCCCAGAGTTCCTTAAGCCTCTGGATGTTTTAGGGTTGTGTTGGTTTACGCAACTCTGCAATATTGCGTGGATATCGGGGGAAGTTCCCCTGGATTGGCAGACCGGGGTGGTGGTCCCCCTATTGAAAAAGGGGGACCGTAGAGTGTGTTCCAAACACAGGGCTATCACGCTCTTAAGCCTCCCTGGTAAGGTCTATTCGGGGTTTTGGAGAGGAGAGTCCATCGGATAGTCAAACCTCAGATTCAGGAGAAGCAGTACAGTTTTTGTCCTGGCTGTGGAACACTGGACCAGCTCTACACTCTCAGCAGGGTTCTGGAGGGTGCGTGGGAGTTTGCCCAACCGGTCTACATGTGCTTTGTGGACTTGGAGAAGGCGTTCGACTGCGTCCCTTGAGGAACCCTGTGGGGGTACTCTGGGAGTATGGGGTACCAGGCCCTTTGATACGGGCTGTTAGGTCCCTGTATGACCGGTGTCAGAGCCTGGTCCGCATTGCCGGCAGTAAGTCGGGCTCATTCCCGGTGAGAATTGGACTCCACCAAGGTTGCCCTTTGTCACCAATTCTGTTCATAACTTTTATGGACAGAATTTCTAGGCGCAGCCAAGGTGTTGAGGGGATCTGTTTTGGTGGCCTTAGGATCATCCCTCTGCTTTTTGCAGATGATGTGGTCCTATTGGCTTCATTAGATCGCGATCTACAGCTTTCGCTGGAGCAGTTCGCAGCAGAGTGCGATGCAGCCGGGATGAAGATCAGTTCCTCCAAATCCGAGACCATGGTCTTGAGCTGGAAAAGGGTAGAGTGCCCTCTCCTGGTCAGGGAGGAGGTTCTGCCCCAGTTGGAGGAGTTCAAGTATCTTGGGGTCTTGTTAACGAATGAGGGAAAAATTAAGTGTGAGCTCAATAGGCGGATAGGTGCAGTGTCCGCAGTGAAGCAAGTGCTGTACAGGTCTGTTGTGGTGTTAAACTGTCCATCTGGATGCGTCGCTGATCCGCTCTACTCCAGCCTGCTACAACTACAATACAATAAATACAATACAACTTTATTTATAAAGCACTTTAAAACAACACTGTTGGCCAAAGTGCTGTACACTAACACAAACAAGCATAAAAACTATGAACTCAACAAATACCATTAAAGTAATTAACTACCAAATCATAAAGCAGCAAACAGTAACAACAATAAAACAAATATCATAAAACAGTAAAGCCAACATTTCAAGCTGCGTTAAAAGCCAAAGAGAAAAAATGAGTCTTCAGAGCAGATTTAAAAACAGGAAGTGAGTCAGCTTGTCTGACGTGCAGAGGCAGCTTGTTCCACAGTTTAGGGGCAGCGACTGAGAACGCTCGGTCACCTCTCAGCTTCCTGTTGGACTTTGGGACGGCCAACAGCAGCTGATCAGCTGACCTAAGAGAGTGTGGGGGATTGTACGGCTGGAGAAGGTCGGACAGATACTGTGGGGCAAGACCATGAAGACATTTGAATACAAACAAAAGAACCTTAAAATTAATCCGGAAACGAACTGGGAGCCAGTGTAGCGATTTTAAGACGGGTAATGTGCTCTCGTTTTCTAGTGCCAGTTAAAAGACGAGCAGCAGCATTCTGACAGTCCACACCCATCTCCAGAGCAGGGGTTCACCGAGCGGAAATTCCCTCAGTGCCCCCTGGAGCCGAGCCTGACGGAGGCTTCATCGGAGCAAGATGTCCAGGTGGACCAGCATCCCGTGCCTCCGGTTAGCGTAACCCAGACGGTGACACCGCTCTCCAACTGAGCTCACCAGCATGCGTTCCAGACGGCCACAGCGAACAACACGTTACGCTGTTGGCGTACACGTTCAGAGGTGGGAAGAGACGGTGGGCCCTCTGACATTCGGCTAGCTCCACTCTCGTAGTGGCTGTTCGCTAACGGCGCTGTCGGCCCCTGCAGTACGCTCCATCTGCAGGGCAGCTGACGTCATCCCCAACCGGTGCGCCTCTTTTGCCGTCTGCCGCCCCGTATCGCAGTCGGAGAACGAGGTCCCAGAGGTTCTTCTGGCTCATCACTCCACCTTCCTCTCAGGAGAGCTGCAGAAGTTTTTTGTTGAAGGGCCTTTCATCAGCGAGAGATCATTTCAAGATGCTCCACGGCTGCACAACGCCTCCCCAGCTCTGTTACGCCAGCCCCTCCCATCAGACGTCCTCGGCATCCGGAAGTTCAATTTTTCCCAGTCTCGGCAAACAGGGGGCCCTCTAGGACAACAAACAGAGCTCAGGGGAAGATAACCAGGTATCAGTTGCTGGATGTGTGTTGATGACACGATGTAGAATAAACATCATTATTTGATGAAGTGTCTTTTAGCCAGGCTGTCAGCACGAATGATATGACAAGCGGCCCCATCACACACATCACGAATGAGCCTTTTAAGGTTGTTTCATTCACTGCCAGCGGTGCCAACACGCGCTCCCGCGGCACGAGCAACCTTCACCTATAAGGCGCTGCGTTATGAAAGTGCACACGCAGCTCTCAGCACCCGCCGTTCACGTCAACGTTGTAGTGAACTAGGCCTGAGGTCAAATCCTGACCTTAAGGACCTTATGGGACAGAAACTGTCATTTCATTGATTTGAATCCAGAAATACAGG